AATATATATATATATATATATACAATATATATATATATATATATATATTACAAAGGTATCCGTCAATGCCCCCACGGTAACGTCTCCGGTACGACGTATCGTTTGTCGTCGTATAGACTCAGAGCAATTTTCGATTTGGATATCGTATAATATATACCTCGTACAGTTTAGATCGTATACATGATTGACGACGAGTCATTTCGATCTATTCGTTCAAACACCGCGTGTAATCGTCGAACGTTATCGTTCGCGCTACGACGTTACTCTTTACGTCTTTTTAATGTCCTTCTTGCCGTCAACTCCCACCGCGTACATCTTCGCTCTGAGACCAATGAATTCAGTCATCATTGTACCGTTATTTTCGTCCTTCATCAGATTGGGTACTTTTTTGTTCGTGAGAGGCGTACGCGTTGTACGTCAGATAATCGCTCGTGTCGAATCTAGCGATATCGCGTTTCATAGTCCGTAAACATCCTCGCACTCGACGCGATATATAAGACTGCCTGTGTCAGTGTATATAATTTTACATTTGTATTAAGTTCAATGTAATCGCGAAGCCATGGAGATTGCGCAAATTGTAGCACTCGCTGGATCTTTGTTATGCGAAGACTATGACGAGTATGTTGCGGTAGTGGATGATGTAACGCTGTTTATCGTACAGCGTCGCTAGAAGTTTGCGCTTGCCGGGCGGCTTATCGCGCGTCGGATAGAACGGTAGGTCAGTGTGTTGGTCGTGTAGATGCTGCGGATACTCGACTTCGAGAATGTAACCGGTGGGCGAATCCAGAGCCATCACGCTCACGTCAAAGTTCGCAGCGTCTTCGACCCATCGAAATTTGGCATATGGCAATGATTGACACATCGCCCACCCGTAAATAAATTGTTAACATCTTAATACAATATATCAAGTACGACGACGGTTCCGACAGGTCGTACGAATGCATGTACTTGTTATTAGCCTGTGCGTATCTGCCTGAACATTGACTGAGACTACCGCGTATATTGCGCTCAATAAACATGATCATATTAATATCAGTGAGCAACTCAAACTTGACGCGCGTATGTTTTAACATCGCATCCCATGTGAAACCAGGCAAGGTGTAATAATGTGCGAGATCGAAACATAACTTTCGCGGAAATTTTCAAAAATGTCAGCTAATAACAAGACATCGGTTTTCAAGTACACATCACTGTATTCGCCGAGCGTTAGGATAGAGAATCGCTGCTATACGTTCGCGGCGTGAGCGTAATCGCTCTCGGATATGGTATTGCCTATTAACGAACTGTAAAATGATTCGCGCGGTGGTAAGTGTGTCCTACAATTTTTTGACATAGTCAACGTACTCATACGGAAAGACACCTTTATGAGTCAGTAATTCAAACTCATCATCCGATAGTGTTGAAAATTTGGAACGTATAATTTTTAATTTGTTTTTATCAAGATATGACGCTAATTTATCGAGGCTTGTATTGAAAAATTTGAAAGAATCGATAAAACGTATTAGGAGTATAAATAAGTTTCCGCCGTTTTTTATCAAAAATTGGGCATTTATTGTGAAAGAACGGTACCTAATGTTTTATTCGAAGTATTGTCCATCGCTAGCCACTACTTTTTCCCATCTTTCTGGCAGCATACGGATACCGCGTAGGAAAAACGCTTCATCTTTTGGAGCTATCCACGAATCGACCCAATTTTTGGTATCTTCATATGATGTGAAGTGTTGCTCAGACAGGCTATGCGCCATCGATCGAAACAGGTAGTAATCAGAAGAAGCAATGTCTGGTGAATACGGCGGGTGGGGTAAAACTTTCCAATTGAGTGTTTCGAAGTAGGTTTTGACCGGCGCCCCAACATGTGAACGAGCATTATCATGCAGAAGAATAACTTTGTCGTGTTTGGAGTAGTAGTGGGCGCGTTTTTCCTTGAGTGCTCAACTCAATCTCATCAATTGTGTTCGGTAGAGAGCCCCCGTAACGGTTTCGTTCGGTTTGTTTGAGCAACTCATAATAAACGATACCTAGCTGATCACACCAAATACACAACATGAGCTTTTTCCCATGAATGTTCGGCTTGGCTGTCAATGTTGAAGCATGGCTCCATGATTTCTTCTTCTTTGGGTTATTACAGTAGATCCATTTTTCATCACCAGTGACTACACGGTGCAAAAAATCCTTTCGTTTATGCCTGGCAAGCAGCATTTCACATGTGAAAAATCGACGTTCAACGTTTCTCGGCTTCAGTTCATATGGAACCCAATTTCCTTGCTTTTGAATCATTCCCAACGATCTTAAGCGATGTGAAATTGCTGGTTGAGTCACTCCTAATGTAAGTGCAAGTTGCGTTTGGCACGAATCTTCATCCAATAATGCTTCCAATTCCGCGTCTTCGTACACTTTCGGCCTTCCGCTACGTTCTTTGTCTTCGACGTCAAATTCACCGTTCTTAAATTTTTGTAACCATTCACGGCAATTTCTCTCACTTAAGACAGTCTCGCCATATGCTTCTACAAGCAATCGATGCGCCTCAGCTGTAGATTTCTTCAAATTAAAGAAGTAAATCAAAAGCTCCCGCAAATGATGCTTATTCGGCTCAAAACTCGACATTTTCGCACAAAAAAAGATATAAGATGCTGATGCAAAATCGCTAATATTTCAAGGTTATTCTTGCCAGATGTCCAACCTTACGATATGACGTTTTACAGCTGACAATTTTAACTATAACATACTGGTAGCGCCATTGTTTGTCAAACGGCGGAAATTTATTTATACTCTCAATAATTTTACACAATTTTTCTGAGAATTATTTTCAGTTTTGTCTTTAGTGCTATTGATATGTTTTGTGAAGGAAATGTATTTTTCTTTGGTTATCGGTAACACATCTACGTGTCCATTGTACGCGACAGCAATTTCTGTAATTATAAAGTGTGCGTCGTAACCCGATAAATTATGAAAAACCATCAGGATATAATATAATGAATTTTTATAATTAATTTTTATAATTTTAAATTACAGTTTGAATGCGCTGGACCACGGTATCTACCGGTTAAGTGGCAATGATCGCGTACCCGCATGTTGTCCGACGTGAATGATTTCTCGCAATATGATAACGCGTCGCGGTACCGTCTATGGTACGCCTCCAATTGTTCTTTCGACAACGTTTCCATGGGCATGTTAGCGGATATGATATTTTTTACACGATGCGCCAAATCGTTGAATTGTCGCGCGAACCACGCTATACAACCTTTATCGCGACGGAACTGATACGACGATAACGCGTCATCGTATGAGCAACGTACGTAATAGCCTATGCTGAATACCTCATGCTGTTCATACGCGTACGATGACAACGTATTTCTTATCGGGTTCCGTCTTCCGTAAAACGCACTCCAAATCGGCGTAGACGATGAATAGGACGCGTTCCTAATTGCAATTCCCAAATTCGAGCCACTTTTCGTCCGCGCTCAGCAGTCGGATAACGCAGTCGTTCATTTTCCCACAGTTCATTATGTGCAACTGCAATTTTTCGTTTATGTTGAAGTAATGCAAGCATCTGAAAAAAAGAAAACAAAAAATTATAACTATTATTATTATAACTATTATTATTTATTAGTAAGATGGAAAATTATAATAATTTTTTCATGTGTACTTATCGGTCGCAGAAAAATTTCTTTTTCTTGTCTTTAGCAATTTCGGATCTCACGAGACGGGATAGATTTTTTATTCATGCAAAATGTCCAACACCGTTGTCGCGTAGATCTTGCATATACAGCACGTTGCCGTGTTTCTCCTTCTTATCATTGGTGAAGCGTAGAGGAAAGACTTGTTTATTCTCGATGCCGCATATGTTGATCGACACCGCGTTCAACCGTTCGAATTTAGAAATTTCTTTTAATGTCATTGGAAATTCGATACCCGCGAGATTTAACACTGACGTATAATGTGGATACGATGACTCTCACTCCGTATGCTTTTCAGCCGGGTACAGAGCGGCGATCATCGACCACGCGAAGCATGCATTGTCCGTCGTACGAACATTGATCACCGCTCGTTTCGTCGCTATTTCTCACGGCACTTTAATATAGCATCCCGCGCGCATGGGATTTAGTTTGTTCACATTGATAGTCAAATTCAATATACGTGACAACCACCCGCTGTCGCGTTTTTGGAACTCTTCGAGTGATGTCAACGTAAGCTCGATAATATGCTGCTCAATGTTCTTTGTAATTATACTCTTATTAGCATGTTTGTTGTTT